AACAAAAACAGAAAACTAATTTAAAAAACTGAAATAAACATTACTCCATAGTGAAAGGCTGAGGCTTTCCTTTGAGATGAGACAAAAGGGAAGGATTTACTATCATTTATGATTAACCTCATAGTGAATAGATATTCATATGGGAAAATTAATCTTGATATGTCCATTTTATTAATCCCAGATATGCTGATGATTTAAATGTGAAGATAAAAATAAAGCTTATAGAAGATAACAGAATTTCTTAGGTCAGTATTTATGAAATTAAGCACAAAATATATGATTCTCTAGAAAAAGACCGATAATTTGACTATATTAAAATGAAAACTTTTACTTATAAATTTCCATAAAAAGATTTAAAAGATAAGCCATGGATGACATGCTGAATATGTTAATAGTCATAACAAATTCCTGATGAATAAGAACAAGAGCTACCAGAGACACATATAGCAGACAGATTTAAATGCAAGGCATATTACCCAAATGCTTGATGAGCTCAATTTCATTGTTGGTAGAGGAAATGCAAATTACAACTATGCAAAATCACACTGTAATAGTTACTATCAGGGACTTCCTTAAATAGGCCTCAATGTCAGGTTTTTGGTTAAACATTCCTACATATTCCTATGAGAATACATCACATTTTTATGAGATAAATATTTAAACCTATAGATTAGTTAAAGCATATTACTGTCCATGATGAGGGCAGGGATTTTTTTCAATCAATGACCATCTTAACAGTAAAGGACTGACTTCAAGGGAAGGGGAAGGAATTCCACCAGCAGACGACCTTTAGATGGGAACATGAGCATCAGCCTGTTGTGTACATCCTGTCCAGTTTCCAGACCTTATACACACGCACCCTATCATGTCTGTTTCCTCTGGATAAACCAATACAAACATGTCAGAAGTCTGACAACACCACGTTGTAGGAACCTTATGAAGCAACTGCGATTCTTCTTATTTGTAAGGTGGAGTGCTGACTGGTGCAACCATTTCTGGATACCTGTTCATTAGCAGCTACTAAAGCTGAACATGTGAATATCCTAAGCATTTCCACACCAGACTATGTACCCTATAGAGTATGTTTCACAAAAGATGTATTTTCCTATACATACTCTAACACTAGTCCTGAATCAGAAACAAATGACCATTGCTAGTGGAATGGATGAAGGATGACACACTAAATCATGCAGTGACAATTGCACAGATGCAATTTGAGTGGGAAAAAGTCAAACACAAAGGACAGCCATAACCCATGACACCTGAAATCTGAACAGGGTATGAAGTACTTCCTCATTGCCCCATCGATTAGTCTGAGCAGATACTAATTACAAGGGTACACTAAGTGTCTGAAAACCTATCCAGCTTTCGGCTGATGCTTTATACACTGTTCTGCATATATTTAGAATTCAATAACAAGGTTATTTGGAAAGTATGCTTTTATTACTTTGGGGGTTTCCCTTAATATTTTGTAAACCTCATTCCCTTGCCATAAAACAGCAAAAGGAAAGCTATCAGTATAATTAAAATGTAAATAATTACAGTATGCACCTCACAGGCTACATGCTGAGTAAATGGAAAATGACATTTGAATCTAAGGGAACTCCCTCTTCTTATGATACCCTCTTATGATTTATCCTTACATTCAAGGAAAAAGAAATATTGTGTAACTTTTACTAGAAGATGTAAAGAAACATCTGTTCACTCTAGGCATCTATACAGACAGGGGAAAAAAAGAGATTCCATTAAATTCTAGCTTAATGAACCAGTGAACTTACTGCGGTACTTGCAGAGGTATGGATGAGAAGTTACTTACATGAATGTCAATGTCTCAGAGACAGATGCTCAATAAAAACAAAGGTCCACCCCAGAATGAGCATTGACTGGGGAAAGCGTCATACTTGCTGGCAAGCTGGCTGGTGGACAGGTCCTCTCCCCAGCTCATATAACCTTGAGGAAAGGCTTCAGGAAGCTTGTGGCTTTCAGAAGCTTCAGCTTTATGTACTTCTAGAGACTTGTAGGTTTCTTTTACTTCCTGAGCCTTACAGAGTCTAGCTCCATGAAGGAAAGTTTCAGTTTGTAGGAAATAACTGTCCAACAGAGGCTCAGGAAATGAAAATGGTTGACTGGAAAAAGCCTAACTGACCAGCAGCTAGACCAGGTCTGACTTCACTGTGAGGTCTGTGTTCTCTCTGAAGGGTATCTCTCCAGGCCTAGGGCCCTAACCTTTGGCAGCAAAGAGTTGTCTTCTCCTGCAAGCCTTCCAACTGTATCTGATTAACTCTCCAAACTGATCCAGTGTTAGGGCCTCACACTGAAATTCTCCACACAACCAACCATGAGGCTGACCTGGTTCCAATCTTTCATCTTCTTGGTTTAGCTCATTTCCTCAGAGGTGGTTCCCCTTCATTGTTTGCTCCCTGTTAGAAATATGTTTGAGGTAGTATGGGACCAAAACAGGAAAAACATACCTTGCAGGTTAAGGGCTCTGTTTGCAGTTAAGAGTAATTTCCTGTTTGTCCTGCATTGGTTTGATCTATCTACACCTCATGTGCTTGATCACATGTGGGTGGGAGGTAATGTGGGCAGGAAATACATTGAGATATGTGTTTGCTCCTAAGTGGACCTGATGGGAAATATGATGGCCCTGTGGGTTTGATTTTTAAGGATCTGTAAAGCATGACTGTGGCCATTTCCTGGGAACCCAGTAATGGTCCTGGTCAGAGTCTGTTTTCCTGTCCAGTATTTAATTAAAGTTTGCTTCAAATTTGGCTTAAGATTGTAGTAGTGGTCTTATTCTCAACCAGTGGGGTTAACAATAGCAAGAAAGAGATAACTACTCCAATTGAAGTGTCTGGACAAGACAAACTTTACTCACGATCAAGATACACTAGGAAGAGAGAACACACCGAAACAGGAAGTATCCTTGGTTTTTATTCTAATTTAGGTGGTGCCTGTGTCTTATCTTCATTGGCCAGGGTCTGGCCTTACAAGCTTATTTAATTGGTTAGTCCAAAAAAATTGGTTTATAAATTGGGCAGCAGTGGTGCACGCCTTTAATCCCAGCATTCTGGAGGCAGAGGCAGTCGGATCTCTGAGTTCGAGGCCAGCCTGGTCTAGAGTGAGTGAGTTCCAGGACAGTCAGGGATACACAGAGAAACGCTGTCTCAGAAAACAAACAAACAAACAAACAAAAACAAAAAAAAACAAAAAAGAATCTGCTTATGGGAAATGGAGGAGAAAGGCAAAAGTGGCCGCTGCTCCACAGAAAAAAGGTCACTGCTCCAGTCTTTAGGGAAAAAGGGCCAGTCAAAGAAACACACCCTGAGCAGAGCCCAAGAAACACACTTTGGACCTGCAACCAGGACCAAAGAAATGCACCCTGACCCTGAAACCAGTGCCAAAGAAACACACTTTGGCCCTAGAATCAGAGCCATTGAAAGAAATACACCCTGGTCCTAAAATTAGAGCCAAAAGGCTAAATAGGACCAGTGAAAGAAACACTTTAGCCCTGAAACCACAGCCAAATCTGACCCTGAGCAGAAAACCAACAAATCCCTGAGCACGAGATCTAGCCAATCTGAGTTCAGGGACTGAAATCTAACCAATCTCCACCCTGGAAATCTCCCTGGAAAAACTCTGCCTCTAAGAAGCCCTATATAAGGCCTGTGCCTGGTCAGTTAGTGGCTGTCCTGCTGTCTGGCTGTCCCTTCCACCCTGGCAGAGGCAGCCACTCTTTTGGATTTTTCCTTCCCAGTAAATCTCTTGAGTGAGGCTTGGGTAAGACCGTACTGCGCCCAGCAACTTTTCTGCAAAGCCAGAGCAGAGAGGAGCATAGTAGGGCTGTAACACTTTCGCTAGGGGGAAACCTTCCTCTAGGTGAGGGAAGCAGAGTTGTTACACTCCAGGCAACCAGAAGTGAACTATAACAACTTCCCTGGGGAAGCCCTCCCTGCCCTGGCAGAGTTGTTTCACTGGGGAAGCCTTTCCCTGGAGCAGGGCCGTGAGCTACCAAGGTTACTGTGACCTGTGGTATTCTTTGACTCCAGAGTGCCAGAATACCTTTCCATCTGAGCCACAATGCTTATACAGGCCATCAAATTCCTAGAATAGAGCCACTGGCCTTTGTGTAAATAAAAGTTTTCCTGGGTGGAGAGGGTTAAAACATTGCATAAAAATCTTACACGGTGGGGGAGATAAAAATATTTTAATTTCTTGGTGCTGGAGAGATGGCTCAGTGGTTAAGAACTGTTCTTCCAGAGGTCCTGAGTTCAATTTCCAGAAACCACACGATGGCTCACAACCATCTGTAATGAGATCCGGTGTCCTCTTCTGGCCTTCAAGGATACATGCAGAGAGAACACTCTATACATAATAAATAAATATTCTAAAAACTATTTTAATTCCTTGTCCTAAACACGTTTTACAATACTTGATAGGAAAGACCATATTTGATATTTCTTACATCCCAGGCCCAAATCTTTCTGATGAATGGCCATCCTCCCCCACCCCCTTCCTGTTTCCCCTTCATTACGGCTTTCCTAGCCTCCCAACTTCTGGCAAAGGGGTCCTCCCTAGGTTCCTGTCTTCTGCTAGCTGCCTAACGTCTCCCGGCTCCTTAATTCCTTCGTCACCTCAATCCCCAGCTACACAGCCAATCACTCCTTAACTTCCCACCCAGTACCCAGTTCTGGACTCCAGTCACCCGGCCCCGCCCCAATGCCTTCGCTGGAGGGTGGAGCCTCTAGTAAGCCCCGCCCACTCCTCACATTGGTCTGGCCCCCAGTGCTTCTCGCGTGCTGCCTGCACGTGGTCCCCCCCACACACACACCGGTGCGAGCGCGCGCGCGTGCGCACACACACACACACACACACACACACACACACACACACACACACACACACACACACACACACACACACACACACACACACACACACACACACACACACACACACACACACACACACACACACACAGAGCAGTCCTGCTCAGGTCCCAGCTGAGGTCCGGTAGCTCGCTCGCCTGACGCGAGGCTGAGATGGTGCCAGCAGGCAGCCGCCAGCGGCCGGATAGGCCTGGCTTGATCTACGTGACCCGCTTCGCCTCGCACCGGCGTGGCGTGTGGCAGTTGAGGGGGCCCCGAGGTCTCCGCCACCAAGGCCCAGGGCTCGGGGCCTGCTTCGCCATGGAGCAGACGGCAGTGGAGAGCGGGTCCCCCGGAGGAGAGCTGCCCACCGGCTCCCACGCCCGGGTGGCCGCCACCCGGGACTACTCCACCTCTTCCCAGCGGCGGAGGTCGAGATCGCCACGGGGCCCGGAGCCGGCGGCGCGAGCAGGTGGAGGGATGCTCCTGTCAGAGGGCTGGTGCTGAGCGGGCAGCTTGTGAACGCGGCCTTCAGTCAGTCTGGCCTCCAGTCAGCCTTCCTGTTAGCCTTCCTGTCCGTTCTCACACAGCATTGCATCAGTGGGCAGCCAGGCCCCGCCCTCCTGTCAGTCTGTGTTGGAACCATAAACTAGGAGAATCCCTCTAAATTACTTAAATAAGTGACCCCAAAAAGGGCTGCGAGACATTTAAGATAATGCAGAGACCAGAGAGAAGTTCTTGGATGTAGCTACTTCGGTCCCTCAGAGGAATGGGAGTTGGGCATGCTTGTTGGCTATTATGAAATTTATTGAAACTGCTAATTACATGAGCTGGAGAGATGGCTCAATGCCAGAGGATCCGATGCCCTCTTCTGGCCTCCTCAGGCACCAGGCACCTAAGTGGTGCACAAGCAAAACACCAATACACATACAGAAAAATTAAAAAATAAATTGCTAATTACTTGGTAGAGTGTGTGTGTGTGTGTGTGTGTGTGTGTGTAACAGAAATCTTAGAAGATGCTGAACTGTCCTTTTTAAAACACAGAAGATTGCCCGGCATTGGTGGCTCACACCTTTAATCCCAGCACTTGGGAGGCAGAGACAGGCGGATCTCTGTGAGTTCGAGGCCAGCCTGGTCTACAGAGCGAGTGCCAGGATAGGCTCCAAAGCTACAGAGAAACCCTGTCTCAACAAAAATCACTGAAGCTGTAGTTCTATTTGCTCAGTTTTTGAACCTTTCAGGAATGTTTTGTTTACTATTTTTTAAGATTTAGCCAGTTGGTGGGGCACTCCTCTAATCCCAGAACTCGGGAGGCAGAGGCAGTTCAATCTCTGTGAGTACAAGGCCATCCTGGTCTAAGAGCTAGTTCCAGAACAGCTAGGGCAGTTACACAGAGAAACCATTGTTTAAAAGAAGAAGAAAAGATTTATTCATTAAGTATACAGTGTTCTGTCTGCATGTTTGCCTGCACACCAGAAGAGGGCACCAGATCTCATAACAGATGGTTGTGAGCCACCATGTGGTTGCTGGGAATTGAACTCAGAACCTCTGGAAGAGCAGACAGTGCTCTTAACCTCTGGGTCATCTCCCCAGCCCCTTAAGAATGTTTTAAATAAGTAATTAAAAAAATGTTTTCACATGGTGCCCAATGTTTTTAACCTCAGAATTAAGGAGGCTGAGACAGGTAGATCTCTGAGTTTGAAGCCAGCCTGGTCTACATAGAGAGTTCCAGAACAGCCGGGGCTACACAGAGGAACCCTGGTTGAAACAGGTATTAGGAGAAATACCTCCAGTGTTTCTCCATTAAATAAAGTACTGGTTTTAGGACTAAGACTATATATTTAGAGTATGAAAAAGTATATCTACTTTTATTATTTTTAATATTTTTATTATGAATAGGCTTTACATTTTGTCAAAGGCTTACTATGATCTATGGAGATAATAATGCTTTTTTCTTAGAATTAGTAATGTGTAGTGTTTTATATATCTATAAATAGGTTTCCAAATAGTGAATCAACATTATAGTATTGAAATAAATTTCACTTTTTGTGTTTTATTATTTTTTAATATAGTGGCAGCCTCTAATAATAAGTTGCTTACAAATTTTCATTGATGTTCATGAGATTATAGTGCCCTGTATTTCTTCTTTGTAATTCTGTACTTAATTTAGATATCAGAGTTATACTTACTTCATACAAATAATTGGAAATCTTTTCCTTCCTTTTCTATGTTCTGGAATAGTTTATGGAAGATTGGAACTACATAGTCTTGACAAAATTCTTCTGTAAAACCATCTGGGCCTCGGGTTTTATGGGACAATTTCTTAATAATTTTCTCTATGCCATGGAAACTGATCTGTGAGACATCAATTTTGGGGAAAATATATTTTCTTAAACAATTACACACTTCATCTAGGTTTCTACATGCATTTCTACTGAGGCCTGAAAGCTAATGTATTTTAATTTTAAGTTTACTCGGCTTTAATGGTTATTCCTTTCTTAATTTGTTTCTGTTTTATGTATGTAGGCATGTACTTTCTTCCCTTGCACTGATGACATTAGTATTTTGTTTATTTTTAAAACTAGGTTTTGATTTATTAAGCATTTTTGTTTCTTCCTCATAAATACCAACTTCTTAACCTTATTTTCTTTCTTTTGCTTTCTATTGGAGTACTTTTTATACTAAAAATGGACATTATTTTTATTTTTTAATACTTTCAAAATACACTTCCATTTTTTCTTATATATTATATATTGAATATAACCTCAACCCCTTACCCAGTTTCCTTCTGTTTTCCCTTCTTTCAACCCTTCATTTACTCCCTTAGACAATTTTACTTATTTCCATTTAATCTATATACATGATTTTATGTGACTACATAAAATCTAGGAATGACAAGTAAGAGAAAGCATGTAACATTTGTCTTTCTGAGATTAGCCTAATTTGCTTAATTTGATTGTGTTGAATTCATTTCCCTGAAAACAGCATAGCTTTATTCTTCTTTATGGATAAAAAAAATCTGTTGTTGGACACCAAGGTTTTTTCCTTAACATAACTGTTATGAATACCTTTGCATAAACATTGATGTTCAAGTGTTTCCATGCTATGTTGACCTTAGTCTTTTGGGTAAATACTCAGGAGTGGTATAGCTTGGCTATATGATAGATCCATTTTTTAATTTTTTGAGGTACCTTCATACTGATTTCTATAGAATTTGGACTAGTTTACATTCCCACCAGACATTTATAAGGATCAGGATTCCCTTTGTCTACATCTGTGCCAGAATTTATTGTTGTTTTCCTCTTAAATTTTTGTTAAATTCATCCATCCACCCACCCATCCGTCCATCCATCCATTGCATGTGTGTGTCAGTTATATCATACGTGTGCATTAGGAAACAACTTGTGGGAGTCGGTTCTCTCCTGCCATGTGGGCCTCAGGGATCAAACTCAGTTTTTCAGGCTTGGCAGCAAGGGCTCTTTACCTTCTGAACCACTTTGCCAACCCTGTTGCTTTCTTAATGATTGACATTCATACTGGGGTAATATGTAATGTCAATGTGATTTTAATTGGAATTTCTCCAATGGCTGGTGAGCTTAAACAGTTTTTCTTATGTTTATTGATGATTTCTATTTTCTCCTTTCTGAATTGTCTTTTCCTTTCATTTCGTCTTTTTGGGGGGTTCTTATTGGTCAGTTTTGTTTTGTTATAGCTCTTTGTGTTTTCTACTTACTAATCCTCTCAGATGTCTAGCTGGCAAAGATTTCATCTAGTCTGTGGACTTTCTCTTTACTCAACTGGTCCCTTTGTTACACAAAAGATTTTTTTTCGGCTGGGTGGTGGTGGTGCACGCCCTTAATCCCAGCACAGAAGCAGGTGGATCTCTGTGAGTTCGAGGCCGGGCTGGACCGATAGCCTCCAAAACAATACAGAGAAACCCTGTCTCGTAAAAACCAAAAAAATTATAAATAAATAAAGATTTTTTTCGTGAGATCCCATTTGTTGATTGTTGACTTTATTTCCTTGACAACTGGGGTCCTATTCAGAAAGTCCTTTCCTACACCTATATCTTGAAGTATCTCCTCTACTTTTTCTTATATTAAGGTTCTTTCCCCCATTTGGAGTTAATTTTTTTGTGTAGAGTAAGAAATGGGGACTAGTTTCTTTCTTCTATATGTGGGCATCTCATTTTTCCCTGCACCATTTGCAGGTAAGGCTGTCTTTTTTCCAATTCTGGTTTTTCCCCATCTTTCTCAAAAGTCAGTGGCTAGCTGTGTTGGCTTCTAGCTGAATTTACTGTTCTGTCTGTCATTGTATATGTCTTTAGGACCATACTGTTTTTGTCACATGGCTTGGTGTTAGGTATGTTGATAGCATCAGCATTATTCTTTTTTGTTCAGAATTGCTTTGCTTCTTCTGGATACTTTGTCTTTCAAATGAGTTTTAATATTGCTGTTTTCTACTTCTATGAAGAATATCATAGGAATCTTTTATCAGGATTGTGTTGAATATGTAGATTGAAAATCAGGCATTTCACTTACTTTTTAAAATCAGGAAGTATTTAGTATGGTGAATTTGTTTTAACCACTTTTAGTACCACCCACACATCTCAACATGTGATATTTTCACTGTTGATTTTTAAAACGTTCTGTAATTTCATTCTGCTTATTCATGTCACACTGATACTGCTTAACATATTTTAAAGGTTTTAAATCATGGGACCTTCCTATTTTTTTTGGTTTGGTTAGTGCTTTCTAGTTTTATTGCATGGTGATCAGAGAATGGTATTCCTAGTGTCTCTACTGTCTACATGTTACTGGTGTTTCTTGTGTAATTCAGTTTGTGACCTTCCCTCTCCCCACTTCCAGAAGCCATACCAGATAAACTTTCCTCCAGAATCCTGGTTTCCCCTTTCACCTGTGTCTGTCCCATCCAACTGCTTGTTTGGTACACTGTGTGGGATTTGGTCCTTTAGATTATATGCTTAAATATCTTCCCTGTACTCCCTGTTCTGATCTGCTTGTTATTTATTTATTTATTTCATATTTTCAGATAAAGGATGGATTTAATTTGGCTTCGTAGCTGATAAGAGGCTAGAAAACAGCTTCAAGGCAGTGGTAGTATTCCAGTAGAAATTGAAAGGCCAGAATTAAAGCTGTAGGGGAAAAATGGGCAGAACTGATAACTGACTGGATGGGAAAAGGAAGAGTTGAGGCTGTGGCTAACACATCTTTACTGAGCCACTGTATTAACATGGACGCTATTAACTTCCATGACCTTCTTGCTGAGCTTGTAAAACCAGAAATGCATTCAAGGGAAGGGTGCCCTAGATAGACATGCACCTGAGCTAAGCAGAGTGTAAAGTACGTTTACTCAGTCTTGGTTATATTTGATATTAAATAAACGTTTATTGTCTATGGGAAACAAAAATGAATTATTCATCCATTTCACAACATTTAGCATCTACCATGTTGTAGACATTAGGTCAAACACTAATGACAAGACGGATCCAGTGACTGTTCTGTACCCAAAGGAGTCACATGTGAATAAGTCAGTAGGTGTGAGTGCTATAAGAAATATACCTGATAAGACTTAGATAATCAAGTTCAGAGACAGAAAGGAGCACAAGACAGGAAGTCAAGAGGACAAAAATGGAGAAATTTCTGGTGCAGCAGTAGAGATTATCAAGAACTATGGTTTTGAAGTAAGAAAGACAACCATGGGCTCTGTTAATTATATAATATTGCCCATTTTAGCTATCCAGTCTGATTCTTTAATCTTCTTTCAAGGGTAGGTAATGGTTTCCGTGAAGATTAGCAGAAGCAGCATGCGCACAGTACCTAACCTAATGTGGTGTTTGGTGTGGAATAAGTACCCTGTAAATGTTGGCACAGTGAGCCCAGATGGCTTGAAGGAACAAGAATGACTAACAATATGTACTAAACGTTTACTGAATGAATGAAAAACAAGTTTTTGATTAAATTGTAGAGTGAGTTTCATTTCTATAACCCCTAAAGATGTTTAATTGGTGGGATGATGTCACCAGGGACAGGTGCCTTGTGAAAGTCAGACGGGTAAGCCATCCACAGATGTGCTGGTGTTTAGGAAGCCAACGGATAAGCAGCAGGCAAAGCTAACATCTCAGCAAGACTGGTTCAGACTGATTTCCTTTCACTTGGGAGATAGTCATGTGTTATAAATAACTATGGGTGAGGAATACTATTGTGGAGGTGTACAGGTGGATACTTTGGAAATGGTGATAGTTTGAGGATAACAGAGTCAAGGAAAGCATCGTGTAGAGAAAGTTATTTGAGATTTTCACATGAGGCTGAGATATGGACAAGCTTCAAGTGGAGAAATGTGCGAGCAGATTGTTGAGGGTGAGTGACAATTGCCAGTGACCAGGGAAGAGCTACAAGTACAGCTTGATAGCGTCAGAGCATGGGCAACGAGAACCAGAGGAAGGTTAGAAGTGTTAGGTGGGGACTAAATTCATGGTGTAGCATACATTGGTGCCTAGTCTAAGTGCAGAGAAAGATGGAGGAAATGTTTTCCTTGTGCACATGTATTATACTTCTTGCTGTATTTTCAGACAGATTTCATGGCTCCTATCTTACCTTAAGGAGTGTAGGTACAGATTAGGTAAGACTTGTAAGTAGGAAACAGTGGGAATGATGAAAACACACCACCATGAAAGTTGTGGCATTCAAAGTTGTAGCAACGTGTGCGCTAGTTTACTCAGTGTTTATTTAAATAGGTAATTTTCTCCTCTTAGCTGAATTTCTTTAGAACACTATTCATGTGTGTTTGCTAAGAAGAGAAAATAATTACAAGCTAACAATAGCTAAACAATATTGTTCAGTTGTAGTAAATAGGCTTCCTGCTAGAAGGTATCTGTCATAAAGGAAAAGCAGCAAGTCTTGAAAATCTCTAAATGACATGTGGACAAATTCAGACTTCCTCCTTTACTGGAAGATAGGAAGATTTGGCAAGGGAATGAGTTTCTCACAATGCGACTTAATTAAGGTCCATCATCCCATGTCTGTGCCCCACTCAGAATTAGTGGCATGAGCCTCACAAATTAGTAAATGCCATTTAGGAACACATTTTAGTTCATTCAACAAATGAACATATTATGTACCTAGTGTCTACAAAATAGAAACTGGATTGCCAGAGAGGAAAAGACAATTCTCAAGCAAACTGTGAAGTTCTGTGACAACCCAGCATGGTTTGTAAGATCCAAGAATGTTCCCCGGAAAGCTAACTGTTGAATGTGCAAAGGAAACCCAGGTAGTATGTTATGAATGAAGTGGGGAGAGTTAAAGTAGATGTTCCAAAGGCAAACGGAAAGCAGACAAAAAGGCCTCCAGGGAGCATATACTTACTGTTGTTTTCAACAAGTGGTGTCACCTAGTGATCAGAAATATAGCATCAAGCATAAACACACCCCAAAGAGAACTTATGAGACATACTATGGCCTCTGCTTTCAGGATAGTACTTTTTAACATATGTACTAACTTCAATGTCTTGTCTTTTCTTTAAAAAATTAGGTTTACACCAAAAAAATGAAGCTAAAGAGTTTGATTTCCCCATACCACTGAATGAGGCCTCCAAAATAATGAAGGAAAAGAAAAAGGTACACTGTTATAAAGGTTAAAAATTAACAACGTTTAAATTTTAGATCTTCTTCTGTGACTATAGTATGTGAAGGTTTCCAGGACAGTGACAGAATTCCATCTCCTGAATAACTTAATTTTCTAAAAGGAGAAAATAGAAGAAACTTGGCAAAAATGGAACTGAGCTTGGAAATATTTATTGACTATAAAAATAGTTCTGGTATTTGAAGATATAAATGTATTTTAATCAAAATATAACCTGCCAAGAGACTTTTTTTAAAAAAACATAACCTATTTCCATAGAGTGTAGCTAACTGCTATATATAAAGCAGTATAGCAAGAAAATCACAGACTTCATAGGAAAGAATCTGTCTACATCGGTGTCATATTGCTCTTTCCAAAGCAAAGAATTTATGTGACTTTTTATCCAGAAAGATGACAGAGGTAGACTTTATTGCTGAACCCTTGGTTGCCAAATGTCATAGTAACTTGAGAATTTTAAACATATTTCAGAAAAGTTACTGTGCTAATCTATGACTGCCATTTTACTTTAAAGAATGCAGTAGTTGAGCATGACACATAAATTCATGCTTGTGTATAGGCCATGCAGGGTTTAAAACAGTGCCCAACGCGACTAACCTTGTCCTAAATACATCTGAAGTAAGCAGCAGTCTTCCACTATGCTAAGACCTGCTTCCTTCAAGAACTGTTTCCTTTTGGACAAGGAGAAAAGAACATGGTCAGTGCTTACCTCTAAACTTAATGTGCTGTGCACTGGGGTAAGTGATTTGCATACATGCCTTTCATCCCATTGTTCAGTATGTGAAGATGTTTCTAGATGACATTTAAATGCTTGTCAAATGTCAAGCTACTAAGTAGCAAAAAAAGAAAAAGATAAAAAGGTCTAAATATAGCTGTTTGATTTTATAGGCTTTTTTTTGTACTTTAGTATATTCATAATCTCTGGTAACTTTTCCTTACTGTCTCCTAGAAGAACTAGTTAATTCTTACCTAGAATAAAATACATTATAAATGAATCTCTGCCCAGCATAAACAGGAATAGAAATTCAGTACTTTTAGTACCTTTTTGAAATTGAATGTACTGGACCCACTTAGCAAGACTTTGCAAACATTTTTTTCTTCTTTTGAAAGGCAGCATCATCCAGGAGAACTCATTTAAATACTGCAGGAAGGGAACTAGAGAAAACTGGAAAAGAGGAGGTCAGACAAGCTAGTGGCCACTGGGGTCACTGGCGGGATAGTTCCTGGGTGCCTTGCTTCACACTGATGATCCTGACTGGCATGCGGCCCAGCAGAGTCACCCTGATTACCTCCAGCAAAAGGCATTGCACTTTTGTGCCCAGCGTTCCTTGACTGTGCTTTTCTTTTTAAGGTCTTAGTGTGGAAAAAGGTACAAAAAGTCATTTCCAAAATGATTGCAGAAAATGAAAAATACAGACACAGACTGAAGTGCCAAAATCTATCTAGTGAAGTAAGTCAACACATTTTCAGTTTTATAAAAAATTTGATTATATAAACACTGTAGCTAACCTCGAATTGCATTAGATTTCCTAACTGCCAATATTAAAATATAGGAACAATTGGAAGCGTAAAGCCATGCTCAGACGGGATGTATGGTAGACCCTGAGGGTTTCTGGGTATAAGGGTGCAGAAGGCAAGCACTAGCTGGAGTTTTCTGAGCACAGAACACACATGTCCATTAAATGTATATTTGAATGTCAATCTTTAAACACAAATTAAAAAACACACACTGGTGAAGAACGTGTTAACTGTAATATAAAACTACACATTCTATCCAATTTCTTGTTATTTCCTTTCCATGGATGCTGAATTCCAGTGTAACTCATTTCACAAAGTCTGCCCTTGGCACAATTTCATTTTTAGAAAACAACTCAGGAGTTGAATCTTGTCCTAAAACTGCACCAGTGTTTAGTAACTGATATTGTGGTAAAATAAAGAATAAATTCAGGTTTTCAGACTGGCAGTCTGGCTGAGCAGGTAGAGGTGCTTGCCGACAAGCCTGAAGACCGGAGGTTGGTCCCCAAGAACCACATGGAGGAGGTGAAAAGCAGCACAAGTGGTCCTCTGACCGCCATTTGCATGCCACCCTCTCCACTGTGTTCAAGTGCCTGTGCGCGCACACACAGTAAATACATACGAGTTTGAAAGTCATAAAAGATGTTCTTGGCTTCCAAAATATTAACTGGAACAAATTTAGCATAACTAATAATAAATTGATAAATCAAAATTTCTTTACATATAGAATATGTCCTGTCAAAGTGCTTCTGTGATGTCTCAGTACTTAATGACAACTTTTGAGTCATTAAACTTACAGTAGTTAACTTTGTGAGGAATGTTTTATAAGTAATATAGTATTGGATAAAAGTCCATAGACTATTAGCAGTCATAGAATGCTGCACTAATAGCACATTGCTCACAGTAGCAGCATACAGACCGATGTCCAGACTCACGCACTCTAGTTCACTCTTCTTGTCCAATCAGAATGAGTTGTTAGGAAACAGTAGGAAGAAGGAACACAGTCAAAATTTCTCAAAGAATAAGGTGTTTGGACATCCATGTGCAGAGAGGGTGGGCAGTGTTCTACCCTGAACTTGGAAGAGTCTTTTGAACCTCAGCCTTCTACGAATCCAGAATCATCTGATAAAAATTATTTACTAGCTTAATATCCAAACTAACACAAATAAAAGGTATCTTTGACATTCGTTATTTTACCTTAAGTTTTTAACTATATTAATAAAGTTAATATGTTACAAAAGTGTAATGTAATTTTTACCTCTTAATATGTATTTGTTGACAAAAATTAGTGTTACATAGCAACTTGAAGTTCTCCTATATTGTTTCTAGATTCGAGTTAATACAAAATGAATGTGAGTCTTCCTGTCTTCTCTGGTGAGAACCCATTGAAATAACTGAACAGATCTCCCCTCCCTTTGTATCCTGCTTTCTCTAACCTTTGGTATAGCCCCACTGTCACTTCTAATCTACTTCCTTCCTTAAGTTAGTGTATATCATAGCACACCTCTTTAAATATTTTTTGACATTAAAATTTTTACTTACACCCCATCTCTGTCATTCCCTTGAAACTATTCTCCATATGATCTCATCTCCATGATATGTGTACGTATGTATATGTATATAGATACACATATATGTATACGTATACACACTCATATAGGAAAATGTGAGTGTGTGACTTTTCTTTTTATGTTTCTGCTTCATTCTCTTTCTCTTGGAATGTACTGTCATATGTGAGTCAACCTCACTACTCCTCTCTTAGTATCCTGCAGTCTGTGTTGTGATTCTCATCCTGTCTCTCTGACTACATTTCCTGTTCATTTTAAGTTATTCATCTTGCTTCCCTGGGATTTGTTACTCGTCCTGTTATCTCTTCACATATTCACTTCCAAACAACTCCCTGTTTTTTATAGCCTTAGCTACTAATTCTATCCTACCCATGACCTCTGCTATTGTCAACTATTTCATAGAGCTTTAGTAGTCTGTATTTTACACTGAGCATATTATCCTCCCCTTTCTTTTTAGTTGCCCCTGGTCTCCCAATCACATGGCCTCAGTTCGCTTGCAGGGGGAGATTCCATCCAGTTTCTGAGATTTGGAAAGTAATAGAGGGAAGGCCAGTCTTAGGAAAGACAATTAGATTTTTGTAATGAGAGACTGAGTCAAGAGCAGTGTGAGGAGGTGTATTTTAGATCAGAACATGAGCTGGGATGGCATCAGTGAGAGGGTGGGTCTCCTCATTTCTCTTACAAGGCTGTTACAAAATGGGAATATGCAAACTTCTCATGAATGTAAGACCAGTACAATAATTTGTAGTTTTGTTTCCTTCCTAGCTACAACTTAATCACTTCATGAGATTCCAACAACCTTGGCTTTGTGGTTTTATGTTCTTCAAGTGACTAGTAAATCCACCTGCTTCCAGTTGAAAGACACGTCATCTAGGCAGTGGCCTAGGCCTTGCATGCATATGTGATCCACAGTTTCCCTGCATACAGGCTCATCCAACTTCTTTGGACAGTGCTGAGTAAAGTTTCACATTGCTAAATCCCTCAATGAAGTTTCAAATGTTAGTTCACACAGCTTAAGTATATTACTAAATGGAACATGTTTATAAACTTGACTGCATGAAATTTTGTGGAGTGTGTGGACAAAGCTTTTTGGTATAGTTCAACCTTATGTTTATGTTGTATGACCTATCAACTCTTCATGGAAACATGGCCTGTTTTGTCATACCTGTCAGTGTTTATTCATGTCACTCTATGGGTGTCATACTGGATAGTGTCCCACTGTTCTAGAAATCTGCAGCTCTAAAGACTTCCATGGAAATGAATGTTCTAAATGTTATGTTTATTGTTTAATAATTTTTGGTGAAAGATATTAAATCTATTTTGTTGAACAGAACATAAATATAATGTGAAATTTCTTCTGAAATATCATTGAGTACCAAGTGTGTCATCATGATTTGTTCAGTGTTTTAGATTATATTGGGGTGATGACCTCTTCATTAAAACCCGAAACTACAAGTTTCCAAATTGGGGACATATCTATTGAGCTGTGGAAATAAGATTTTTACATGTTTTCCCTTCTCTCCATCTCATCTTCATCAGTCTTCTGGTCTCAGTGAGTAGGAACATTCATTCATCAATTCTGTTCCTGGTTTTTCTTTGCTTAAATCAAAGAAGTTTTATTTTAGCCCAATAGTCTGTTCTTGTGGCTCTGCACTCTGAGAAATGCACCACAGATGATTCTGCCATCTTACAAGCATCATAGTGTGCACTCACACAAAGCTAAGTGTCTGGAATCATCACTGAACATGGCCCCCTGCTGCAGTCAGGGCTACCATAAGCGCTAGATAAAGCAGTGGCATTTATTATCATTAAGTATCGCGAGCCTTTCTGTGCTTCTGGAAATCAAATGCAGCACTCCACCACTGAGCATATCCCCAGTCCTGCGCTATCCTTCTGTGTGACTGGTAGTACAGCAGGCTTTCCCAGCACCACCACAAATAGATGAGCAATGCTTTGTGGTAGATGGCCTTGGCATCCCTGGTGTATACACTTAGTGACCAAAGTCACATTATAATGTGACCTGTGATTACATTTGCAACATCTGTTTTGTTTTCTCCAAAGATGTTTCATGCTTAAGTGTATGGTGTGGGGAGAGGAAATATGAGAACTAATGGTTTCAATGAAAAGATTTGGCAATTGAAGAACAGGGAAGAAACATTCCCCAAAGAAGTAATTAGCCAACCATTTATTCTGGGGCACCCAAATGATTTAAGGTGTGTCTTCAGTCATGAAAAAAATAACAGAATTTTTCAGCATAGGAACTAATAAAAGGTCAGGATATATCCATGTCTAATGTAACCTGAAAAAGATTAGCATTTTCGGAAAGTCTGGAGTCATATAAACAGTGGAAGAATAGTTCTGAGATTGGAAGGTAGGGCACTGGGAGAGGAGGGAAGCTGCATGGGAAGAGCCTTTTACTCCAGGAGGGATCCGATGCTGGAGCACTACTGCGGTGGTAGGAAAGTTTCCAACTCAGCATGTATCTATTGGAGTTGTGGAAACACGCTTTTCACGTTTCCTTTCAGAGGGATATAATGTTGATGGCTACACTGTGGAGCAACCACTTCATGCCTGTGAGGTCATTCTTCCCAACAAGCTGTTCCTATCTACCAGTGATTGGGCATCACAAAGACATTGAGACAGACACACTTTAGGGGACTGGACCTCAAGGACTGCCCACTTCCTTTGCAGAAGAAACTCTTATAACTGAACCAGAGAATGTCTAAGACTTTCCCTAGCCACCCTTCTTCCCTTCCCTCTTTTCTCTATCAATACCAGTTGCCCATGGTGGTATAATGGTTGGAGGTGCACAATTCAACTATATGTAATGTGGATGTACATGGTGTAGATATACGTGATGTGTGGCAGGCCTGCTTTGCCAAGTCTAGGCCCCAGTTGAGAAAATCTGAGTCTCTAGAAGATGTGATGATGTTATTGTCACATAGATTCCTCTGCACTCTCAAGAGTTTACTTTTGACTTGTGCTGCAAGTCACCATGTTTCCCCTGAAGATATACTAATCCATGCCCAGATCATGAAAACTAAAAATTGATTATTTCATATAAGAAAAAAATAGACTAATATCTCAGTTTCTTTTCTATTGTCATGAAGGATGACAAAAGGCAGGCAGGCATCAGGTGAGAGTTTTACACCCTGATCCATGGGCAACAGGTAGAATGAGGGGGGGACTGGTGTGGGCTTTTGAAACCTCAAAGCCCTCACGCAGCAACCCTCCTCCTCCGATAAGGACCATCTACTCAAACAAGGTCATACCTCCTAATCTTTTCCAAACAGATCATCAAATGTGTGAGCCTATGGGGGCCATCCTCATTCAAACCACCACATTCCACTCCCTAGTACCCATAGGCATGTAGTGGAATCATAATGTAACGTTTCCATAGTCTTTCAGTCTTAAGACTAAATATCCAAAGTCTCTTCTGAGACTCAAGGCAATTTCTTTAACTGTAACACCCTATAAAATCAAAAAGCAGATCACAGACTTCCAACATATAATGGCAAAGGATATACATTATCATTCCAAAAATGAGGAAAGGGTGTATAGTGAGGAAATACTGAACAAAAGCAAACCCAAAACCCAGCAGGACAAAGTCCAAATTCTGCATCCATGTCTTAACATCAAAGCACTCTTCAGTTCTCCAGTTCTTTTCAGCTGTGTTGACCACAACACACTTCTTTCTCTTGGGCTGGTTCTATTTCCCGTTAGCAGCTCTCCTGGGCAGGTGTCCCATGACTATGCCATCTCCAACATGTTGAGGTTTCCAATGCAATCCAGGCTACAGCTTCATTCAGTGTCCTCTCTAGGCAGTGACCCTCCCTGCCAAAGCCTGGCCTCAGCAGCTTTCCTTAGCAGCAGAGGAAAATTCCATAACACCTTTACTCTAAAGCCAGACTACATGACCAAATCCACCCAATTCTACTGCTAGCTCAATTACATTTGCAACAGCTTTCTGATGTTGATGGTTCCCTTCACTGCTAACCCTTCCCTGACAGCTCATTAACTGGTGACTAAGCACACAAATACATGAGCCTGTGGGAGCCATCCTCCTTCAAACCAGCATAACTAGGAAAGATACAGACAAGAAAACAGTCTGGAAACAGGACAATTTCCAGTTGTCTTTCTACCTCATGAATGTGTGATGACACATAGTCTCAGCTGCACCCTCTAGGGAGGTAGTCTGGCTGGAAATTGTATCTTTAATTTCCATAGCACACTCAGGACTGTTAAGGACAATGTTTCCAAGCTCAGGGAAACAATATTGATTTAAAAATTACAAGTGAAAGCAAACCATATCACACCATGCTAAAAGCAGGACGGTCTGCAGATGTCCTGTTGTTGCCAGTGCTGAGGGCCACCTGGCCATGTCAAGCAATGTTCAAGAGATGTCATTCTGTACTTCACCCAGACCAGGGTTATTTGTTTGTTTATTCATTCATTCATTTATTTTAGTTTTGTTGTTTTTTATGTGCATAGGTTTTTTGCCTGAGTGTATGCCCTTTGTACCACATGTATGCCTGCTGCCTGAGGAGGCCAAAAGATTTACAGATGGTTATGAACCAACGTGTGAGTGCTGTGAATTGAACCTGGGTCCTCTACAATGCTCAGGGCTCTTTCCCAAGTTTTGAAAATGTGTACTATAGTTTTATAGCCTCACATATGAACTATTCCTATTGATATTTCCTGAGTATGAGGCAAGTAATATCTGCTATAGACTTATGTATAAATTTTGAATCATGTCTATTACTTTCATTATTTAAAGCTATATCCCTATCAATATGTTATATGCTTGACCTGTCATATGCTTGGCATGGTTCACTAGCACCCACCACTGCTCTGAAAGTCCCTGCATTGTGGCTATGATGTTGACATGAGGTTTCCCAGTGTCCTGTCTTCTCAAGAGCTTTTTTTTTTATGGATGAACAATGACCAAGTGGTCTTATTTTGTATGTTTTGGTTTTAATTCTTCTTTATCTGAAGTTTAATTTCAAACTCTTTATTTCCATGATTTTGTGTTTACTCTTTTCAACCTTTTATAGTCAAACTTTGTCTCTTAATTTTTACTTGTATGTATGTGTGTTTTTCTGTTATGTGTATGCAGATGCCTCAGAGACCAGTACAGGGCATTGAATTTCTTGGGGCTGGAGTTACAGACAGTTGTGAGCTACCCAACAGGAGTGCTGGGAACTGAACTCAAGTCCTCTGGAAGATCAGCCAGTGCTCTTCACTGCTGAGCCACTCCAGCCCAGGAATTTGCTTCTTGACTACATCATAAGGAATCTTTTTAATAGGATGATACTCCTAAAGTAAACCCCTGTGAACACGTGTCATCTGACACTTGTCACAATTTCTCTGATTTTTGTAATTCTTTATTTTCCTCATTATTTTCTATATAAATTAGTTTCCAAAGGTATAGAATGTATATATAATTTTTAAATTATGTCTTCAGTTATCTTAGTATGTCAAAAGCACTTGGGCTGACATTCATCTTCCAGCCTTGAAAATGGAGGAAATTACTGTTGTAATAAAAAAAAAGTCAGCTCAAGAGAGAAATACATCATGTGACAGAGTTCAAGTGAAAGGGTTTTTTATTAGGGAAAAATGATTGTAAAAAGGGGGAAATGGAGTGGGGAGACCACGGACAGGAGAGAGAGAGAGAGGGAAAGAGAGGGGAATAGACAGACAAAGGGAGAGGGGGAGAGAGAGATGGGAGGTGGGCAGGGCTCTTTTAAAAGGAACATAGTGAACAGGCACAGGTGGTGCTTTTAGTGGCAGCAGCTGAGGGCGCATCCTGTCAGAACTCCAAAGGCAGGCCAGTACAAATGCCTAAATATTAACAATCACAATATTCGGCACTCCATAGATTTCCTGCCCCTTTCGCCTATTGGCCAGCTTCACCTCAGAAATTAACACCCCCCCCCGTGTTTCACTAATGCATGATTTCCATGGTTTTAGACACACTCTTGTCAGAATTGAAAGTAGGAAAACAGTGAATCTAATGTGGGTTTTTACCCCCTCAGGTGGCTGCCCATCATATGTTACCTGGAAATAATTGTTTTACATATATGCACATTTCAAAGGATCTGCATGCTTCTGGGATCATTGCTCCTTATAACTAAGGCTTTAGTGTTTTGTTTCAGGTATAGGTAAACGCCCATGAAAAAGACACAAAGAGCACCTCATTACAATCCTTGTCATTGTCTTAAGAATGTGAAGGTCTGATGGAAGTCTGAGCCCTTCACAGATCTGTTTCCAGGAACTCCCAGAGGTGAGCATGAAAGAAAGCTATGACTGGGTGCTCTGCCTTTAAA